CTGAGAGCTACTTCCTTGTGTTTTGGTGGAGTGTACAGCAGTGAGAAACTGAGATTCTGAGAATTTCCTAATCTTTACAGAATTGTAACTTGTATTAAGTTTGTAGTCAGCAGTAGCCATATCTAAATTTTTGTGGTCTTTCCAGGCTGGAGATACGCTATCAGTTTATTTGGAATATGTCTCTGGTGGATCTATTCATAAATTACTTCAAGAATACGGCCCCTTCAAGGAACCTGTTATTCAGAACTATACCAGACAAATTCTCTCTGGGCTTGCTTACTTGCATAGTAGAACCACAGTGCATAGGTACTCATATATGTGAAATCCCTTTTTTTTTTTTTTTTTTTTTTTTTTTTGGAAATTTAAATGTTATATATAATATAGTGAAATTCATTGGTGACATTAAATGACTGATAGGGATATCAAAGGGGCAAACATATTGGTTGATCCTACTGGCGAAATCAAACTTGCAGATTTTGGCATGGCGAAACATGTAAGTGCTATCCTTCAATGCTAAGAATGTGAGCACTGGCATTATACTTGATGGGTACTAATTACAAAATTAGTTGCTAATCTGCTCCGTAATCTTACTGGCAAGCAAAGTAAATACCGTTGCCCAAAAAAAAAAAAAAAAAAAAAAACAATTCTGATAATCTTATGATTCTCAAATATCCTAATCACATCTAGAATTTTTCCCTTATGCTATTAAGTTTTGGTTTATCTACTTCTCATTATCTGTTTAATTGTCTAATGCAGATAACTTCCTGTAATTCGGTGCTTTCTTTTAAAGGCAGTCCTTACTGGATGGCCCCTGAGGTGCGCTCTCTCTCTCCCTCTCTCCATATTCTTGATAGCTGGCAGCTTGGAAATTCCTTTTGGCTGTCTTTTTTATTTCCCCCTTATTTTACATATATATATCACTACTTATTTTTTATGTACTCACAGGTAGTGATGAATAAGAGTGGGTATAACCTTGCAGTTGATATTTGGAGTTTGGGATGTACAATTCTTGAAATGGCAATGGCAAAGCCACCTTGGAGCCAGTATGAAGGGGTATGGATGATAATCTATTTGTTGAGAATCTTCCCAATCATAATCAAAGTTGGGATATGCAGAAGCCAAATCTTTAATTATGTTGGCTTTGCAGGTAGCTGCAATTTTCAAGATTGGGAACAGCAAAGATATACCAGAGATTCCTGATTTCCTATCTATTGAAGCTAAGAATTTCTTGCATCTTTGCCTTAAGCGTGATCCAGCTGATCGCCCCTTAGCTTCAGATTTGCTAGATCATCCTTTTGTAAGAGAACAATCTGTTGGGAAGAACCTCAATTTTAATGCAACAAATGAAGCGACAACATTCTCATTTGATGGAAGGCGCAAGCCAGTAAGACATCCTAGATTCCTTATCTCTGTTTCATTGTTAACTATCTTTATAAATCACCTATGTGTCGAGAGCATTTAGTAACAAAAATGCTGCTATGAGATTGAAGTAATCTTTTTAGTCAGCATATTGTTTGGCTAGCTCAGGAAGCTTAACTTTTTAGTGATTGGGGAAAGGGATAGTATAGAAAAGTTACATAGTAATCTGAAGTTCCTATATCTCCTTTATTTTTGCTTTATATGCAGGCATGCAGCTAATTAACTTATAAATGATGGTCTCCGTATCGTATAGAAAATATTGCTTACCTGCTTTATATATGGAGTAAAAATATGAAATAATATGAAGTAAGAAGTAACATTAGTGGCAGTTAAGGTTTGTTCGAGTAAGTTGGGAACTTGTTTATTATGACGTGTTTTTTTAGAAGTCATTATACATTTATACGGGGTTAACGTCACCTTCTTTATGGGTTGGTCAAAACTGGGATTGTTTCCTTTTTACTCACAGGATGAACGTAAATTACATTAATGACAAAGTTGGCTGTCTATGACCTAGCTCAATTCTAATTAAAGCTTCTTTATTAGCCTACATATTCTTAAACTAAAATGGAACCTACTTATTAAAACAACTTATCTATGATAAAAACAACTTAATTTTAATATTGCATGATTTCACATGGTTTGTTCTCTTTATAATGATGCCTTTAGGATTTACTGTGTTATCTATGAGATGTTTGTTTACTATATTGCCAACCAGGAAAGAAAATTGTTGACCTTGGTGGAAAGGTTCTTGTCGGAGCTAATCTATTTCTATCAATTTATGGATTAGTTGCTTGAGCATTGACTAACTATTTTATTTATCATACTTGCGAAAGTTTTGGAGGTATCTTATACATAAGAGTTCATGAAGTGCAGTGGGATTACAATTATAGGAGTTAAATATTTGGTGATATTATGGTGATTTGTTAAACAATCTATATTGGAGCTTTTATGTAGTTGGAATTACCCTCTGAAAATGTTAACTTCCATTCAGGGTTTCAGGTGGAAATTATTTGATTTTGTCTAAATGGAATACGCTGAGATCTCTGTGCATCTCTTCTAAATGTAAATTGGTTACGTGTAAAGGAATAGCCCTCTGGCTACGTAATTTTATTTGCCTTTTATGTTTGATTCACTCAAAGTGCTTTACCTTTGGGTTTAGTTGTGAAACATTGCATAGGTTCTACAAAAGAGACGTGACTTATGGCTATGTTTATATGCAGCAACCCTTGGAAATTCACCCGCGCAGAAAGAGTATTAGTTCCTATGACCCCGATAATATGAGGAAACCAGGGCTGACGATTTGGGAGGCCAGGTAAAGCTCTTTGCCTTCGCAACTGATTTGAGGATGGGAAAGTGTTTCTTTAATTTTTAACCTTTTTCTTTTTGGAGAAATTTTAGTTCTTAACCTGATTGTTCCTTTTTTATTCCTTGACAATCTTGGTTCTAGGGATAATCCAAGATCAATCACATCGCTGCCTGTTTCACCCTCATCAAGTCCTTTACATAGACTGGCGCCTGCCTCCAAGAGTTGTTTACTTTCTCCGCCTCACCCATCTTATGCTTGGCCTGGGCAAAGCAGCTACAATTTAAACGACCACTCAGTATCTCCGACAAGAAGACGTGCAGGCTATACTCTTGATCCATGGATCGAGAGTACATTGTTTAAGACCCAAACACCTGGTGGGTCCCCTAATATGCGGCTTATTTGAATATCGAGGCCAAAGAGTATATAATTTTCCTCCAAAAAATTCACCCATGTTGTATGTACATATATGATGGAGTTGCTCACAAAAGAGTCACTGAAGTTTGCTGCATTTTCTTCTCCAAATTACCTCACCGAGTCAGCGTTGAAAGTTGAAGACTATCACAAACATTTTGTTATTAACTTGTAAAGTTGGGCAACGAGATCCTGTTTGATGACTTAAAGCAGTGAAAATGGCGGCATAATCTACAGCTGCTGGACCATGCATTAAATTGAGCCCGAACAGGCGGGATTTTCATCATGCTGTAAATTTCTTCAGTGTTGTATATAGAAATTGTGCTCTCTGCAAAAGATGTTTTTATTTTACTAGTTGAGAAAGCCAAAAACTAGGACAACGGCTAAAGTAAGGAATCACCATCTGATAGTATGGATGGGAGGGATTTATGGCTGTGACAAGTATAGAATGTTTAGAGGTCATTAAATTTAATAATTTCTCGTTATCTTATTCTATGTAATCTGTTTTTTTTAAAGAAAAAAAAAATTATACCAAATATGATCTCTTGTGTGCAAAATTAGACTCGTTGACAATAATTTCGTTACTAAACACGCTTAGTGACAGAAGTTTGGTCATTAAAAGATAATGTATTAACCATTAGTTCTATTACTAAATTAAGTTATGCTTTTTCATTGCCTACATGACAACTTTATAAATTATAATAGAATATTTCTTGTCTATTCTAAAGTTGATGTCATTACTTTATGCTTTTTTTTTTTTTTTTTTTTTTTTTTTTTTTTTTTTTTGCAATGATGCTTTTTGTATAATCAATAGTAATATATAAAGTGAAAAGGGGGTTTTGGGTGATAAATTTTACTTTTCCAAAATACCCTTCTCATCTAAAAAAATTACCATTTTTTTTAAATGTAACTACCATCTTAAAAAACTACCATCTTAGTTCAAAAAAAAAAAAAATCTTCTGTCTTTTTTTTAAAAAAAAAATATTTTTCAAGGAAAATCTAATTTTGTTATTTAGCCTACATGACACCATCAATATAGAGGAGCGATTTCCGTAAATAATGCTAAAATAAAAAATAATTCCGTGTATACGTTGATTTAAAAAATATTTCCCACCAAACTGTCCACGTAGGCTCTAATTTTTGGTTTGTTTTTTGGCTATTAATAAACCGCTAATAAAGATTGCAGTTCTACACAAATTAGAACCGCTAATGGTATTAGAGGTTCTTCAAATAGAACCTCTAATACCATTAGCGGTTCTATTATTTGAATAACCTGAAATGGTTAGAGGCTCTTTAAATAGAACCTCTAATGATATTAGCGATTCTATTTGAAGAACCTCTAATACCATTAGCGGTTCTATTTGAAGAACTTGTAATGGTTAGAGGATCTTTAAATGGAACCTCTAATGGTATTAGCGGTTCTATTTGAAGAATCTAAACATTAAGCCTAATAAGTTACTGAGTATTTTAAGTATAAACCGCTAATGTCATTAGCGGCTTTAATAAATGAACCGATAATGACATTAGCGGTTTTTTTTTTATTCATTAGTGGTTCTTTTTTAAAATCCGCTATTGTTATTAGCGGTTTATAGCCTCGGATTTTACAACCCTACACTAATCCTACGTGTACGGTATCAAGGGAAATAGTTTTAAAAATGACATATATACGGAATTATTTTTTATTTTAGCATTATTTATGGAAATCGCTCAATGTAGAGCTTGATAGATTACTTATATTGCACACGCACGCATTGTGTGCGTCTCTTAGTTTGTAAGATTAATTTGAATTTGATTGGGCAAAATAAAATGGTTTTAATGGCTTTACCAAGCAAAACTTTGGATTTTATAGCATGTTTAAAATACTATTCCATATTATCGTGGTAAGTGATTTATTAGTTCCCAAAATATTTTTATAATGTAAACATTTGCCAAATTTTTTGGTTCAATTCCTAGGAATGTCACTAAAGTAGATATTTAGTGATTACTTTTATTTTTTAGGGACCATTTTATATCACTGTGCAGATTTAACATAATTTTACAATGTGTACTCGAGAATGTGTGACAATACAAACAATTACAATATTGTCACTTGATATATACAGTTTAATCAGGCTGATTGATTATTGATGAAACTCTCTGTTTTGTTTCTATAGGTTTGCTCTACAGAATCTTGAATTGGACTAGCCGGATCTATTACTCGGGCATTCAATTCACAATCAATTTGGTTATTTATATATTGCTGAGGATGGTTGATTTCTCTCCAATTTAAAAAAATCACAAAAATAAAAAAACTCCGTAAAAATGAGGCAATTTTCTATTTTCTGAAAATTTCTGGAATACATAATGAAGCAAGTATTTAACCGCCACAATTGTCAAATTTCACCACCTTTGAAAATTTCCCTCCCATTCATCTCTGTAATGCGTGTTCCTTCCAAAGCAAACCTCTTTCTCTCTCTCCTCTTTCCCCCAATTTCCGCCATTTCTAGGGTTTCTTTCACCTTCAATTACAAACCCCTTTTCACAAAATCAAATACTCAGAAAGTAAATTAATCAAATTACAAGATGCCAATCGAAATGCCAAGAGGATTACCTTTTTCTGTAGATACATGGACCCCTTCTTCCAAATTTAAACGCCACCATTTTCTCACTCATGCTCATAAAGATCATTGTTCTGGGATTACCTCTCATTCTTCTTCCCCAATTTACTCTACTCGTCTCACTAAATCTCTAATTCTTTGCTACTATCCTCAGGTTTTTCTCCCCTTTTCAATTTTTTTTGTTGTAATTTATTAATTTGTTTGTTATAGTTTAATTGATTGTTATTTTGTGATTTCTTTTTGCAGGTTGATGAATCGTTGTTTGTGAAAATTGAAGTGGGACAATCCCTAATTGTTGATGACATTGATGGGTCTTTCACTGTTACTGCTTTTGATGCTAATCACTGCCCTGGTATTTGATTTTATCCTTTTTTTTTAATTGAATTTTGCTGGGGTTTTGTTGATCTTCCAAATTGATTTGGGTAGTTCATATTGTGTATTCAATGTGCTGTACACTTTTTTGGTTGTAGAAAGGCGAAAATTTGAGCTTGTTTTTGAATAATTTATAAGGTTTTTGTTGATTCAAATGATTGATTAGGAACACATTTTTATTGCTTTATATGTCTATAAATTGGGTAAACCGATTAGTGGATCATGATTAAAAATTTAACACCCTTAAAAAGAGAAGTTGTTGACTTGTTGGAACAATCTTCTATTAGGGTAGCAAAAACAGATTTGAGCTATAAAGATGGATGAATTTCATCTTCTCACTATAGTTTAATATGTTTACGCTATCCTGTTACAGCTGGGGAAGCTTATTTGAGAGATTATATCTGATGTGAACATTTGGAATTCAGGGGCTGTGATGTTTTTGTTTGAAGGCAATTTTGGAAATATTCTTCATACTGGTGACTGCAGACTCACTCCTGATTGTCTGCAGAACTTGCCAGAGAAGTATATCGCCGGAAAAGGGAAGAAGCACAGTTGTCAGCTTGATTTTGTTTTCCTTGACTGTACATTTGGCAAAAGTCTTATGTACATCCCAAGCAGACAATCTGCCCTTCAGCAGGTAAATCTACAGGCTGACTTTTTTTTTTTTTTTTCCTTTTTTCTTTTTGTTGAGCCTATAATTGTCAAGTGTTCTGTATAAGTTTAAGTGTTTGTATTTTGTAAGCTTAAATCGAAATTCATAGGTTGTGATGCATGTAGAGGATATAGTTGCCACAGGATCTTGTTGGGTTACTATCTTCATTGATTAGCTGAACTTCTCTGGTCCAAGAAGTGTTTGTATCAGAATGATTATCTGTCCATCTCAGAGTGATTTTCCTTTTTACCCGTTTAATCTGTGTGCATTAAACGCCCATTCTCATATACTCGTATGTCATCTTTCCCCTTAGTTGTTTGTGCATTGGCATATTAGCCCTGGATGTAGATATATACTTAGGTTTTATTTCTTACCTGTCTGCATTAATGTTATGAAATAGGTTATTAATTGTATATGGAAACATCCTGATGCCCCAACAGTATACCTCACCTGTAACGTTCTTGGCCAAGAAGAGGTACTTGATCAAGTTGTTCAAACGTTTGGGTCCAAGATATATGTCAATAAAGCCAAGCACCCAGACTTTTACCAAGCTTTGGAACTTATAGCTCCGCAAATCCTTTCTGTGGATCCTACTTCCCGTTTCCTTTTGTTTGAAGGTTTTCCAAAACTGTACGAGAAGGCAAAGAAGAAAATATTGGAGGCTCGTGAAAATATGCAGCCCGAGCCTCTCATAATACGACCTTCAGCACAATGGTATGCAATGGAAGAAACTGAACTTACAGTTACAGAAAGGAAAATTGTAGAAAGATCAAACCTTCCAGTGAAGGATCAGTTTGGTGTCTGGCATATTTGCTACTCTATGCACTCCTCCAGACAAGAATTGGAGTGGGCTTTGGAACTTCTTTCTCCTAAAAATGTAGTTTCGACAACTCCTGAGTGCCGAGCTTTGGAGCTGGATTATGTTAAAAAGCACTGCTTTAGCTCTCGAGCTTCTGATGATCGTTTTTGGAAGGTTCTAGGCATGAACATGGAAGCTTCGCTGAAGGTGTCAGATGTGTTGGTAGAAAGTAGTGGATCCGCTTCTGCTGTGGTGAAAACTTATGCAGCTTCTGAAGAACTTGAGCTGCAATTGCCAAAGGCATTGAATAACCAGGACTCTCTCTTAAATTTGCCTCCTCTGAACAAGAAGCCTCCAATAACCTTATTTGGACGAGCAAGACTTGGTTATCATTCTTGCATCTTGGCTGAAGAAATGAAAACTACGTCTGTAGAAGAGAGGAAGCAAACCCCCTTATCAGATAGTGAATGTGAGGGTTCACTCTCATCCCCTCTTCTTGCCAAAAATATCCCTGACTGTCCCTTATTCGACTATGAAAAGCTCCCCAGCGATGCTTGTAGCATTACTAGTGTAGTACATGTTAGCAAACATGAACAAGTGGAACATAATCTACTATATTCTGACGACAAGGAGAATATAGTTGAGAAGCCTAATGAGAACACTGTAGAGGTGGTAGATGCTGCCTGTGTAGAAAATAGTAAATACGAAGAGGTGGAACATAATTTACTATATACAGATGACAAGGAAAATACAGTTGAGAAGCCTAATGAGAACAGAGAAGTAATAGATCCTGATACTAAATCTGATATGAATAGAAGGGATGCAAAACTTTGTAAATCTGCTTCTTATTCTTATGTTCGATCATCAACAGGGTTCAGTGACAATTTCCGGAAGCTTTATAGGTCTATGAATGTACCAGTGCCTCAACCTCTTCCTTCTTTGGTTGAGCTTATGAACTCTTGCAAACGTCCCAAAAGACAAGTTGAGATTAGCTAATATTCCATCAGTGGAGGATTTTTGCTTCATTATGACATTATTACTGTTATGCTTCTGTTCAAGACTTCAAGTACTTGATGGATTTGCGAAGAACAGAAAGGGATGAGCCGGATGACCAATTCAGAAAAGGTGCAGATTACATATTAATGTGTCATCTCACCAAGGTTGCTTGGTCTAGTGATTGGATCCCTACATTGGGAGTTTGAAGTCTTAAGTTTGACCCTACCACCAGGACGGGTTCATGGGCTGGGGATTTCCTTTATCCATCCTCCCCATTCTTGAGGGCTCCGTATGCAAATCTGAGTGAGTTGATTTGTGAGAGTTCTTGTCCAGTAGGTTCCATATTTAAAAAAAAGGGGGGGGGGGGGGGGAAGTAATCTCAAATACATTGCTAAATAGGGGTTTTGTACAAAATAATTCAAAATTTTATGAGACTAGAAAGTTACAGAGAGCGATTGTCTTATTTCTGAAATACATTATGTACGGGATGTTATAAGATTTTTTTAATATATTGATCAAATGAGAGTTGTCTCTTTCTGTATCATGAAATTAATTACATTCCAAATTTAAGTTGATGGGAGTAAAATCTGAAGATTCCATTGTTCTGCAACTGCTTCAGGCACCGGCTTCATGAGAATGAGCACAAGGCGGGGTAGACTAATAGAATGCACTCTTACAGTCTGCATACCAGAATATTATAGCCGTAACCTACATTGATTGATAAATGAAAATTATGCCTTAAAAGTGACTGGTATGCCTAGTTCTTGAGCATCTGAATCACATCCTTTCATAGTTGAGTTTATCAGACTGCAAACAAATGTAAACTGTCAGAAGTTGAAACACTGAAACATGTAGAATTTGTGCATATACTTTGTATTACCTTAATAAGCATATCTGTTGGAAGCCAAGCAGGTGATGTGGGAACTCCAACCCAGGAAACCTGCAAATTCAGCAAAATTCAAGATCTTTTTAGCCATCTACTATTGGATCAGCTGGTGAAATGAGAATGAATATTGCACCAAAAGTAAATCAGTTTATGATCCTTATTCTTATAGCTGGAATTGTAATCTTGCTATTATATGCGAAGAAAAAGCCTAGCTCGCTTCAACTTACTAAGATCAGTTGTTAGCAGTAAACATCATTTTTAATAAACACACACTTTTGATCATTTAAAAATTGTCATTCATGACGAAATCTCCAATGCATCAATGAAGCTTTGATCTGAATACTTATGATCTGTAAAATTCTGACAAAAACTCTCAGTGAAGCTTTGATCTGTTTTGTAATCAACAGAAGTCAGTTCTTATATGCAAAAATCAGTTCATTTCCATATCATCAATTCATTTTAGTATAAAATATTGAAAGAACCGGGCCAATAGGTATATGCATTATGCAATATGCAGTATTGACAGGCTTCAGAATTGGGTTACTTACAAGTGCATACTCTCCTGTCTCAAAAATGCGTATATCCAGGACCTGCATTACAAAGCTTAGAATCATGAGTTTTTTTTTTTTCTTTCTTTCTTTCTTTTTTTTTTTCTTTCTGCATTACAAACTTCATAGTTTCCTTGAATAAAGCTATAGTCCTGTGGTAAGGTTTTAGTGTTTTACCTCTCCACGGTCTTCATAAATGTAGTCCAGCCCTTTATAGTATGGTGGATGTCCAACTGATAGATACTGATCATTTTCAGAGCTCGAACATGTTAGATACACACACACAGAGACACACACAATTTTTTGTTGAAACTCTAATTTCTTAGGAGAGAAAGATACACACATTGATACTATTAAGGTACTTCTCCTTGTCCACCCTTACAATCTGACCTTTCTTCACTGTCCAAACCAATCATACGAAACCAAGTCAATCAGCCAAATTCTATACCAATTAATCACTACATTGATGATTATCAAACATAATATAAATGTACTTATAAACTTGTACACATATGCAATATATTATTCAATAAGCTCCCTTACTAATCTTACAACTTCATGACCTATAATCTAATGAGATGAGCCAACTCGCGAGCTAAACTATTTCAAACTCTATAATGAGAGGCTTGCTCGAGTAGCACCCCTAGCTTTACATAGCTAACTGAAGAAAAGAAAGAAGTGATTTTCATGCCAATAAAATTGAAGAATATAAGAAACACTCACTTGAATATACAGGCTTTTGGGGCCTTTTAGGGGGAGGCTGATCATTAGAGCTTTCTTTAGTTTTGGTCTCAGTGAGCTTCTGTCCACCATCAGCTTCAGCTCTAACACATAGCCGACGTCGAAAAGGGATACTTCTTGTGGTCTTAGGGAAAGAAGAGAAGCAAGAGAAAGCTTGGGGGTTTGAGAGAGTTGTTGAGAAAGCCATGAGTGAAAGAGGAACAGAGTTTTGAAGGCTAAAAAGGCCACTCTTTATGGTTGTTCTTGTACATTTCAGATAAGAAATGGAAATAATAGTGAAATTTTTGATGAAATAATGTGAGGCTTTCTTCTAAGTTCTATCTTAAATCTCCTAAGGGCCACATTTCAAAGACAAAACTAGTTGATTTGGCACTTTCTGTTAGATGGCAAGTTGTTTGCAGTGCATTTAGACATTTAGTCCAAGGTTAGTATTAGCATTTAGACATTTAGTCCAAGGTTAGTATTAGCTAGTATTAACAATTAAACAATTACTACCAAAAAAAAAAACTCATTCCGTTTTATAATAATTGCAACACTTTGATTTATATACATGCAATGCACACTTTGACCATAAATATATATACTAATCTTATAATTTACATATAAAATATGTTTTTTTATATATTGTTAAAGAATATTTAACGTAATCATATAAACCGTGTAAAAGTCAAATTGTTGCGATTATTTCAAAATGGAGGGAGTAGTATATAATCAAAATTTATTCAACAAGATTTCATATAAAATAGAGTTCCTTCAACTGAGGTTGGTAAAAACAGCCATCCTCAAATGAATTTGCCCATTCTCCTGCGCACCCCAGCACCTGCCCTTCCTCCTCTCAAGTGTACAGCATCTATCTCTAGGTTCATCTCTCTCCCTAATAATCTTCTCTCTCAGTCAGGCATTTCATCGAACACTTTATGTGCATTCACTAAGAGAATGTTCCCTTTGTTTTCTGTTTGATACTACTGTTTCTGATTTTTGATGGGTTGTTTGATTTACATTCTTTTTATTACAGAAACGTAAGTACTGATCAATATGCTATATGGGGCCAAAACTTGAATTTTTCCGTCAAAACCAAGCAAGGTGGAACCTTGCCAATCCTTAAGAATTGCTCAATTCAGATACCTTCTGGTCAATTATGGATGCTTCTTGGACCTAATGGGTGTGGAAAATCTACCCTTCTGAAGGTGAATTATCAATCTTTATTGCTGTTTGTTTTTTCTTTGGAATATCTGAAATGTAGCAGATTTTCTGGGTTTGTTGTTTATGATTTACTGGGTTCATATATGAAGTATATGGTATGCAATTATTGGATTAAGGACAGATGGAAGTAGCCTAGTTTATCGAACTATAGTAGGGATAAGGTTGCGTATATCTGAACTTTCTTGCCCTGTCCCAGCCTATGAGCTTAGGGAGGGAGCTCTTCTTTAGTGTGTTGGGGTTTCTAGCTTATTGTTCTAAGGTTATTATAGGTTCATAATTTTTGTTGTAAAGAAGAGATTCAGCAAGTTAATTGGAATTAGCTATGACCTATGTGTTATTGTAGGGGACAAGGTAAGGTTGTGTACAAATGACCTGAGTTGCCCGTCAAAGGCGATATAGTAGGCAATGGGGTAGTGTAGTTCATGTTGCTGTTGAACATTCCATTAAGCCTAAGAATATGTGGTTTTGATTGGTTATATTGGTGCAGATATTGGCTGGCCTCTTGAAAACAACTGATGGGAGTGTTTATGTTAAGAAGCCGAAAAGCTTTGTCTTTCAGAACCCAGATCATCAGGTCAGTTGTAGCAAGCTTCTTTGATTTGAAAAATGTAATCATATTCGGGTTTGATTTTGTTGCTGCATTTGTCAATAATCTAGTTTTTTTGTAAGTTTGCTTTGTATCAAAGTGACCATATAAAGTTGTGTGCTTCAGTTTGCTACTCTTAATAATGTGAAAATCTTAGCCATGCTACTAGGAAAGTACCAATGTCTGGTCTCTAGACATCTGAATATGGTATACAGTACTAGAATTTGGACCAAAAAGTGACTTGACAGATTGTATTTTGATGGTAAAAAACTCAGATCACTGATCTTTTATACGTGGTAAAGAAAATGAAATGGCGTCTTGGAGAATGTTATGCATGGGAGAAAGGAGTTGATGTATTGATATTCTTCTCATATGTTGTGGGCGCACAAGAATATATGGAATGTGATGTGCACTTTTTTTTCTGAATCTTGAGCATTTGATGATATAAAAACGTAAACCAACTGCTTGGGTTATTATTAAACCAGAAAATGAAAGGTTAATCCAGTAGATCAATTTTCTTGCCAGCTTGAGCAATCTATGTACTTGTTTATCTTCTGTAAAGGTTAAGTCATCTTTGACAGGTAGTGATGCCTACGGTGGAAGCTGATGTTGCATTTGGTCTTGGTAAATTTGATTTGACCTACGAAGAAGTTAAATCAAGAGTTGCGAAAGCTTTGGATGCTGTGGGCATGTCGGAATATTCACAAGTAGGTCTTATACCATAACGTAATGTCAAAGCATATGCCTTGACTTCATGGCTGATGCATAATACAAGTATATTTTTTTTTATTGGATTTTGCTAGAGGCCAGTTCAAACTCTTAGTGGTGGACAGAAACAGAGGGTTGCAATTGCAGGAGCATTAGCTGAAGCATGCAAAGTTCTGTTGTTGGACGAGCTCACAACATTTCTGGATGAAAGTGATCAGGTATTATATTTCAAGTGATTGTTCTTTCTGCATTGAAGAAAACAAATTTTGGTCATGTACTTGACAATGATGCTTTCTCAATGATAGATTGGAGTTGTAAAAGCAGTGAAGAATTCCCTGACAAGCTCTGGAGAAGTAACGGCATTGTGGGTAACCCATCGTTTGGAAGAACTTGAATATGCAGATGGTGCAGTATACATGGAAGATGGGAGAGTGGTGATGGATGGCGATCCTTCTTCAATCTTGGATTTTATTAATAGACAGCAAGCCTTGTACATTAATCAAATAAATTCCTGATTGACACTCCGTACATGTTAGATTGGTTGTGTTGTAGACTTGCAGTAGTGTTGTCCGTCTAATATCTATTAAGTTTTGCTACTGGTTTTAACAAATGTATTGCACCTATTCTTTTGAGAACTAAAAGATGATTTTTCATATTAACAAATAACAAGTAATGTCCCAAATTAAAACTTTCATTCTTGATAAAAATCAGTTAAGCAAGCAACAAGATAGGGTGAAACCAAAAAATGTGAACCCTGAAAGCTAACTGCAATACAAAGTAAGAGAGGCCAGAGCTGCCATCTTATCACCTGGTATAATTTTGAGAAAAAAAGTTGCGAAAAACTCCATAGTTGAGGCTACTAATCTTATATCAACCCCTCATTTATCGGAAAAGAATGATCAGAACCTAAAATTATACAGTACAAAACTTCAGTTGCTTTTCTCAGACAGGCTGTCTATCCAGTAGTTGGGATCACTGATTTGCAATGCTGCTAAGGCGCTGAGTATAGACCCTCCTTGGTCCTCACCAAAGCTTTTCTTCACCACCTGATCATGCACAGAATTCTCCAAAATCATAAATAATGCAAGAGTATATGGTGCCATAAACCTTTCTCATATATATACACATATATGCAAGAAGGCAAACATTTATACATATATGTACATTACCCCACAAGTACATGGCTGACAATAAGTTATCATATGCATCTAAAATTCTAAGCGAATTACAAAAGAAAAAGGTGAAGCCTAACAAAACAGTTTAAACTCTATGTAAAACACACACACACAGAGAACGAAATTTTGATGAAGATTAAACTCATGCATGTGAATATTATTGTTATTGGTGAGTTCAGATGGTCTGGCACAATCATAGAAAACAAAACAAAACATAAGGGGCACAAATTGAATTGAAGGATCTCTGTTGAAGGCAATGGATCTTGAGATCAACTGAGAAGCAAAAAAGGAAAACGTTACGATATTGCATCACTAATTGATTGATTCTAACCCAAACTTTTAAGCTTTTATCTAATGCAGCTTCCCAATCAAAACAATTGGATATTCATCAGATTAGTTGCATTGCTAACTAAATTGAATTATACAAGTTGGAACAAACAAACAAACAGCCATCATAATTGACCAATAAGATCATACAAAGAAGAAAATTCTCACAGAATTAGGTGCACGTGCACCAGCAATCTAAGAACAAATCCAGACCTTATGCAGCAAATAGAAGAGTCATTGTCACATTGAGCTTGCTCACAAATTCACAATTCGGTGAAGTCTAGCTCAAGCAATGTAGTTTGCTCCTACAGCTACTCAGTGTTGAACAAGGCACTAGGCCACTAGACATCTTCCTAGCTCTTCTCTATGTCTTACTTCACAAAAAAAATATCCTAATGCACTATGCAACCAGATTGGGCTATACTAAACAAGGCAGTTTTTGCTCAAACTATGTATTGCTGTCAGATGGGATTACAAACATATTGAATAATCAAGATCAAGCTATAAAATTCCATAAAATAAAAGCTGTTTACTAAAGGATCTCCGAAATTGATTGCTGAAATAGAAGTTCTCGGTTACATCAGTGCACAACTGAAAGGATGTGCTAGTGTCAAAGAGAGAAAATTCAAGGAGACATAACTGAGCTATGAGGCACTTCGAGTTCTTGGCATTCCAACAAATTAATCAAGAGTTGCAACTTCAACTAGTAATTATATCTAAGAGGTATAAACTTATACAAGTAGAAAAAATCACCCAATCATAATACTAAGAAACATAATTGGCATTAGGACAGGACTACATGGAGCAAACACCCAAATTTACAAAAGTTGATCCCAAAATCAGGCAACAGATAGTGGCACACATGACACTACCTGTCAACCCATAAGGTGAGGCATCTTACATAGGTACAAACTAGAAGAAGTTTAGACAGCACTCAAAGTCAAAAGCTATTACTCAGGATCTCCGAAATTGATTGCTGAAATAGAAGTTCTCGGTTACATCAGTGCACAACTGAAAGGATGTGCTAGTGTCAAAGAGAGAAAATTCAAGGAGACATAACTGAGCTATGAGGCACTTCGAGTTCTTGGCATTCCAACAAATTAATCAAGAGTTGCAACTTCAACTAGTAATTATATCTAAGAGGTATAAACTTATACAAGTAGAAAAAATCACCCAATCATAATACTAAGAAACATAATTGGCATTAGGACAGGACTACATGGAGCAAACACCCAAATTTACAAAAGTTGATCCCAAAATCAGGCAACAGATAGTGGCACACATGACACTACCTGTCAACCCATAAG